AAAAAAAAAAAAAAAAAATGTTCCAGATGTCGAAAGGATTGCGATTTCCGAGTGTGAGAATAATGATTCTAAAGATTACGAGGAACTACAGCGACGTTAATTTTCACGGACAACGACACGTATTGACGGTTGGGATCGATTTATCGATGTACGAGGTTACTCGCAGCCAATTTGCTTTCCCAAATTTTTGATGCAACATATGCAGTATTAATAATTTAAAGGACTATAGATAAAAAGAAAAATACAATACTTCTTGTACTATCGATTATATAAAAATATCTACTTTACTGATGAATGAATTATCTTGAAACTCGATCTTGCGAGAAGATCATCCCTTTTCAAGCGGATAATTTTTGTCTTTCCTTAATTTGTTATTTCAGTGTATATTTTCTATTATTGTGAGTATGTTATACTTTACAAGGGTATGAAAGAATGAATTAAATGTTAAGGTGAGTACAACGAGAGGGACACCGAGTACAAGCATAAACTTGAAGGAGGCTTTGTGCGAAAAAATTCCGATACATTATGATCTTGTGAGAAATATCCGTCAGCAGCATGGTTCCTCGGTGGTCAGTCGTATCACTATAGAAAATATTTATCAAGGATTGAAAGGAGTGAACACGATGGTCAGAGAAACCTCTGAAATTGATCCGAAATATGGGGTGAATATCATTATCTCATGTAACGTATCTTCTTATATGAAATTGAAAATTTTCATTTCTGTGTAGATTAAGTATAGGGGGCTGACGATACCGGAAGTTATTACGCTGTTACCTCGAGAAGGAAAGTCACCAAGCGCAGAAGCTGTTTTCTGGCTACTTTTGACCGGGGATATTCCAACACAAGAACAAACAGCATCCTTAATCGCTGACTGGTCGATACGACGTGAGAAAAGAAAAGATTGGTGGTCAGGACCAGGTGGTGGAATCGTCGGTTCTATCCTCCAATCTTTACCGAAAACAACGTCTCCTCTTGGCAAACTGTCAGTAGCACTTACAGTATTTGATTCTGGCAAACACATAACTGAAGCTTTAAAAAATAACGCTTTAAGCTACACTCATTGGGAAGTGAGTTTTAATATTTAACTGAGAATGTTTTTGTTCAGTACTGCATTTTAACAAGAAATTACTAAGCATTTGTAATTATACTTTTGAAGTAGGAATTATTAACAAATTGCTTTTGCATTATATATATATATATATTTTTTTTTTATTTAAGATCAAATGATTTGCTTTAAAGTTAAGAAAGAACAAAAATGCAGAAGATTCGAGTGATAAAATTAAAATGTGTGATTAAAAATTTTGGAAATTAATATTTGTTACATGAAATTTATTATTTATGTTTTAAGTACATGTACGAGGATAGTATGGAACTATTAGCAACACTACCGGCAATAATTGGTTTAATTGCTAAAGGTGAATTGAAGAACTTGAAAGAAGAGAAAGGCGATTGGGTAGAATTTTTATCAGAATGTCTATGTAACGCGTTTGATGTTTCGAAAAATAATAAAAAATCGTTGATGGATTTTCTCCGATTATACATTGTTCTGAACGCGTAAGTATATTACATACCCTCATACAACATACAAGCGAGATTTTTTTAAACATACGCGATTATACACATTCTTTCCCTTATAAAATTTATATCACAAAATACCTTCGTTGCGTAAAAATGGAGTTCCTCTTATTTTCATGACTCTTTAAAAATATACAGTTATATATGTTCTTTCACATATATATAGAGAGAGAGAGTTTATGAAATAATTTTATAGAGATGAAAACGGTGGAATACCTGGCGTTCATATTACAGAAATACTCGGAGCTTCTCAATCGTATGTGAACCAAGCTCTTGCAGCAGGAGCTTTAGCATATGTTGATGAACCTAAGAATGGCACTATTTCAGAAGTAAATAGAATAATATTTTTCGCATACTAAAGTAATATTATTATGCGTATAATCGTTGGTAAATAATTTTTTCGTTAATGAAACAGTATATGGAATTCCAAATGGGAATACAGCGCATTTTTGGCCAAGAATTAAAGGAAGAAAAATTAAGGAATTACATAGCTACTTTAATTCGAAGAGATAAATTAATTGGTTATAAAGAAGCAGAATTTTGCGATCCAAAATATATCGTATTGGAAAATTATGCAAGGGAATATTTACCAAATGATTCTGGTGTACAGGTATACATGTATATCATGTGTAGCGTTTCTGTCGAATATATAGGATTTCAGTATATGAAATTCTTACTTTAACTTACATTTTGATTTCTCTTTTTCTTTTTTTTTTTATCTCCTAATTACTTATCTTTTAATATATTGTATCAATTTAAAAGTCTACTTTGTTTAAACAAAGAATATCCAAATATTCCGAACTTCAAAAGATTTTTAATTAAATATATTGCTTGTTCTTTTCCCTTTTAGTTGTCACAAACCATTACTAACATTCTTACTACAATGATGAAATCTACAAAAGGAAGGAAGATTCATCCCGAGCAAACTGCAATTGTTGCACCTATTTTTCAAGTATGGTGGAAATTTGTTATTTTAGTTTTTGCCTATTTGTCACTTATTATACATTATGTGCTTTTAATTATGTAAGTTCTATGGCCTGAGAGATATGAAATTCAATCAAGTATTACTGTGTATGTCACGAGCATTGGGCGCAGTTGCGTCAATCATTTGGGCAAGAGCTATTAATGCTTCGATTGAACAACCTACATCCAAATGCACTTATACTTATTTAAATTCTATTCAAAGAACTGGAGGGAAATATGAACGAGGAAAACATACAAAAAGTATTCAAAAATGAAATTTCTTAAGTTTTATGTTAAGTTAACAATATATAGTATCTAGTATTATACAGTATTAAATGTAATGTACATATATAAATTATTATATATACTGTATATTAATTTTTGTTAAATTTCTCTAAACTTCAAATCTACAGTATTTTTTTCAATCATTGAATAACAATAACTAAATTTTATTTTAATTTATGGCATGTAATAAAAAGCAAAAAATATTAAACAAAGACATTATATACGAAATACTTATTGGACGGATTGATTAATAAATTAATTTTAAACTTGGCGCTTATAATTCTGTCGATATATACATATCGAAAAATAATCTTAAAGAAAATGGCGCAATTTTATGTGTTCATACGTCAAAAATTATGAATCAAACCTTTGTATTTTCTATGAAAATATAATATTATAAAGAGTATAAAAGTTAATGTTTTATAATAACTCTTAAACTGAATATTCAGCTACAAAATGAATTCAATACAAATCTCTAGTATGTCAGTTTCTTTTTGTGGTTATATGTCCTAATATTAGATCTGTAGTAGCGAAAATGCCATTTCTTCCACTCTGTATTGTATCAAATATTGTGTCAATACAAATCACATAGTTATATATATATATGTGTGTACATATATACATATATACATATATACGGACTTATGATAATTTATCTTGACGTTAATTGCTTTCTACTGAAAGCATACTGAAAAAATTTTGTACCGTATGTACATTTTTTTCATGCGGTACATATTGATAATAATTTTTGTATCCACGTCAATCTACATCATTTATTAGCATAAGAGATTTAAATTTCAGAGCTAAAACTATGGAACAACACTCTAGAATATTTTCAAATAATATATCTTCTACTATAGAAGAAATTAGACCTTTTGTAGAACGTGTATGTATTATAAATTTTCAATATGTATTTTACAGATTTTTAGATAAACTTAATAATGGTTTTATTATTTGTATTTGCAGCAACCAGGCATTTCATTAAACACATTGCTAAATATTCAAAGAGTCCAAACTCCTATAGAGACTGTACCTCCTTCATCTGATAATTATATTATTGATGTTGAAAATCAGCCAACAAATGATACAAATTTACGTGATGTTTTAGTTCATGACAATCCTCATTATCATCAAATGACTACAGCAGATAATTTTTTAAATAACATTCGTGAAGCTGCAAATGAGGTTGTGGGTGAAAGCCAAAATAATAATAGTAACAATGTTATTAACCATAATAACAACAATAACCATGATATAGAAGAAAATTCAGCACAAGCTGTACAAATTAGTCCACGGACACGTGCATTCTTTAAAGGACTTAAAAGATATATTCCTTTTGTTTGTATTCTTCTTGCCAAAGGCCTGTATGATCACAGGACCAATATATTAAACTTTATAGTATTAATTGTTACATTTAATTATAGTAATAATGTTGTAAAACGTGAAATTGCAAAACAAAACAATAAAAATTGGCTATCACTCTTAGTTATTATGTGTTATATTATTGGATGTATAGTTTTTATTCATTTTGAATATAATATACATATATTTTCTCCATATTCACAACCTCTTACCATTTGGGAGCTATTGTGGTCAGTTTTAATAACAGATTTTGTTTTGAAATTGATTACTATTATTTTTAAAGTTTTTTTAACATGTTTACCTTCAAAGCTTTTACCACTTCGAAAGAGGGTAAGTTCTGTTGCAGCTATTTTATAATGCTAACCAGTTAGAATATTAAATGACAATTTTCTTTCAGGGAAAATGTTTCGTTATGGTGGAAGCAACATCTCAACTTTATCGATGTATTGTGCCTATTCAACCATGGTTTTATTATTTCCTTGAATGTTATCAAGGTCCAGAAAAAATCTTTGGAGTATTACTTTCCTTATTGTATACAGTAAGCAAAGGAACTGATTTATTTTCTCGTATGAAATTATTTAAAACTGCTGTTTGGAAACTGTTTCAAAATGTGGTACGTTTCATAATTTTTAATGAATGAAAGAATATAAAATGAAATTAATTATTAACTGTTTTACAGAATTTAGGAATATCACCAACGAAAGAACAATTAGTAGCATCAGGTGGAATTTGCGCAATTTGTCACGATCAATATTCAATGCCAGTAAGATTGCAATGTAAGCATATTTTTTGCGAAACATGTGTTTTAACATGGTTGAATCGAGAATATTCGTGCCCATTATGTCGAGCAATAATTGCCGATGACCTTCTTTATAGAGATGGTCATACAAGTCTTCTTGTTCAGTTATATTAACTTTTATATATAATATATAACATTGTATTTTTTCACTCTTATTATATTTAATTCACTCTAATTATATTCATAAAAATATCTATTTGATTTACATAAATGAAACTTTTTTAAATGTTCTATAACAATGTTATCTTCATATGAATCACTTATCAGTTACCCTGATATTTGTAATAAAATTTTTATATGCCGATATACTGATAAGTCAGAAAAAGACTATAAAATTTAAGAAATGTGTGATATAGTTTGTACATATGGAATACAATAGAATTATTCGTATAAAGAAATAAAATTTATATTTTGAAAGTAATTTGTTAGTTGTTACTTAATTGTTTATTTATGAAAATAATGTAATTGGTTTATAGAAATAATGAATAATTACAAAGTTTCTTTATATGTATTATTACATTATGTTTAGTGTTTTTATAATGTATTCAAAGGTGTAATTTGTTTTATTATCATACATGACAATGAACATAAATAATCATAGTATGAAAAAAATATAACTATATAAAATTGGCTTAGAATCTAAATTATGTTCGTTGTTGATTATATTTCAACATTTGGTCATAAACATTCTAGATCAAATCGTTTGTCCATGTAATATAATTAAAATCACACTATAGAGAAGTTTCATTGATGTACAACATTTAAGTATTATCTCTGAGATGTTATAAAACATGTACAGGACTTTAACACTGACAATAAAGTAATTATTATATAAGGATATTTTTTTTAGCATATATAGAAAAATAGTTCATAAAACATTGGCTTTCATGCGTGCTTGGAAGTATTCTCCATCCCCTTTAGTTGCTTGCTTATTTATCTCTTTATAACGTTCTCTACTTACTAGTTCTTCTAAAACTTCTCCATCACCTTTAATTAACCTATAAAAGCATTGAATCAAAAATATATTTTTATTACGAATTATCAGCAATATAATTTCATTTCATTTCATTAAATTCAAAAAATACCTGTATCTTCCAGTTTCTTCATCATAAACTCTACGTATTACACTTTGCTTTTTTTCCCATTCTTCTTTTGTCATGGGTGCCATTGCCTTTGACTTTTCAGATATTTCTTGTGAAACATCTTTAGAAACACTTTCTTTAGATTTATCAGTGTTTCGTGATTTCTTTTTTGACTTTTTCAATTTCTTCTTCAATTTTTTCTTCATTCTTTTCTTCTTTCTACGCTTTTTCATAGCCTTTTTCAACTTTTTAGCTTTCCTTCTTGCTTTCTTACGTTTTTTCTCATCTTCAGAAGTATCTGAACTGCTGCTGCTACAACTACTGGTGCTACTACTAGTACTAGAGCTACTGCTAGTACTATTGCTACTACTACTAACACTTGAGGAACTTGAAGATGACAAAGACCTTTTCCTCTTTGACCTTTTGCGGACATGATCCTTTTCGTATATGTCATCATCTCTTTTCTTTTCTTTTCCTTTTGCATAAGGATCATCTGTATCTTTTCTTTTTGTCTCTGCTTTATCAGTATTAGTTTGTTTTACATATCTTTCTTTGGAATCACTTTCTCTAGAGTGTTCACTAGAATCTTTTAAGTTTTTTTGCTGATCCTGGTCTAAAGTGCTTCTACTTCTAGATCTATCGTAAAGTGGTCTTCTATTGTTATGATTTAAGAATCTATTACCTCTCCTTTCATTATTATATCTATTATATTGCAAATTATTATGCCTATTTCTATCATAAAATCCAGAATGTTTATAAGGTCGATACCCAAAACTACGTTTACGATTATCCAAATATCCACCCCGTCCTTTATAATATCCTCTACCTTCCCTTGGATTCAGTCGATATGGTCTAACACCATTCTCATATCTCTTATCCCATTTGTCGTTTCTTCTATCCCTATCATTCTGATGTTTACCAGCATCACGACTGGAAATACTAGAGGAGCCAGAACTACTAGAGCTACTCCTATGCTTTGATTTTTTCCTTTTATCCTTGCTACATGTGTTACGTCTTTTTTTCTTAGAATCAGAATCATCACTTTGGGATGACACTGATTTCTTTCTTTCCTTTTCGTCTTTCGATTTAACGCATTGTTCTGATCGTAAATCACTTTTTTCTCTATTACTCATCGTAATGTATTATTAATTTTCTAAATCAATGGAATTTGCGTTAAATTTAAATATTATGTCTTTCAACATTTATTTGTCGTTTAATAGTATCAACGATTAACCTCCTACATAATAGTAAAGTTCTTTTTACTATAAAATATTCTCGTACGAAGTGACAGATAAGAGCCACATATAAACGAATACGTTAATAACAAAATGCCATAAAATAATTTTTAAATGCATATACACTATCAAAATTCTGATACATCCCGCTACCACGTAACTAACCTCGGTCTAACAAATTACAAAAGTCTACTTCATCGATTTCCATTTCAAAAATTTGTTGAAACTTAAGGCAATTTTTCATGATATACTAATATGAGGTATGTAGGGTTTTTTGTTTCTACATTTTCAACTATTGGCAATGGTTGATCAGAAAACGTGTTTCGTTTATAATCAAATGATATATTTTAATTTTTTTTTAAACATTTTTGCTACTTCTCACAATGAAATAATTCTTCAAAAAAAAAAAACTTTAATTTTCTTGTTATCACATTTTAAATTTTACAAAAAAATTTTATGTTACTCTCTCATGTAGATAATAAATATTCAGTTGTTTTTATCTTTTTACAATTAAATATAAAATTTTTATTACAATATCAAAATTTTATTAAATTTTCT